AAAAAAAAAAAACTAAGGAACTCATATATACATATTTCAGTCATATTGATGAGCTCTCAGAAAAGAGGGAACAGCCTCACAGCCTCATTAACATCACGGATCTCGAGGATAAACAACATGCCCGTCCTAAGATCATAAAGCAGTAGGCCGTCCTTGGAGTCCATAAGAAGCAGTTTACGCACCCCCACGAAGCCCACTACAGTATCAACATCGGCAGGGAGAGCATGTCTGCCCTCGCGCGCGCGCGCGCGCGTGTGTGTGTGTGTGTGCAGGGGATTTTTTCTTGTTTTTCATTTTCGAACAGTAAATCGTATGTCGTGTTTTGTTGCTTTTGTGAATCGTTGTGCTGCTGTGCACAGTAACCATATTGGTGTTGCATCTCATCGTAGACCTTCTTTGGATGGCAAGTGTCTTTTCTTAAGAATCTTGTTTCATTTGTTGAGGCTTTTAGGGGTTGTGGTATGAGAACTCCTGAGGAGTTGTTTGCGGTTGGTAGGTGGTGCATATTCTTAAGAATCTTCTTTCATTTCTTGGCAAGAATTATGGAACTACTGCTAATTCTCGAAAACAGAGATGTTGATCAAACTGTTCAATCATGCTTTAATTTGACTAAATAAGTGCTCTTTACCGCGTTTTAAAATTTAGATGTTGTCATTGAATCCGTATGTGGTTAGATATGCTACTTTTCGTTTGCATTCGGATGTTGAGCATGAAAAGAATTTGTTTTTGGGTTTCTGAATGTTCATGAGCAGATTAGGTATGCATATTAGTGTCAAAAGAAAAGTCCAGGACTGAATTATGTGTTGGGTTGTTATGGAAATAAGTCTTGTTGATGTTTGGATATTGATATGGGATATTATATCTAGAATCGGTCCAGTTAGCCGGTCGAATAAACTGAAGGAAACAGTCTAAATGGGATGGTTATGGTCAAAGATCATGGAAACGAGAATATTAGGAGAGCAGGCCGGTCCCAGCTCCGCGGAGGATCTGGTCGAAGACTAACTTGTCGAGCGAACGGTCGTTTGATCGACCACTTTACAGATCGAGAGCGGTCCAGTGATTTACCTAGATTTGGTCGAGCATAAGAGCCTTCAAGAGGACTTCAAAGGAATCTTTACCCATGCGCGCGGGACACGTGACGCAACTTGATTGGCCTATATTGATAATGGTTTCTGACATATCTATACTGTCGGTTGTACTATCGGGCAGGCCGGGCAGCCAGTTCAGCTAATCCGGGGAGCTTCTGGAACAGGTACCTCACCTCTATATATATATAGGGGTGAGCCTTATGATTTTAGGGACAACACTATCATTCATCCTCATTACTGAAAATTGAAAATAACTTGAGATTGGTTTGAGCGTCGGAGGCTCTTCACCGGGAAATTCCTCCGGTGTGAGAGTTTTTGCAGCTACTCTGCGTCCAATTGGCATGAAGGAGTTCGAGCTAGCTGTTTTGGGCCGGTTGGAGAGTTAGACGTTACCAGATATCAAGAAGACTTATTGTTTTTTGTTAACTCTTTGTCCCTACTCCCTTATCGATAAGGTTTTTTGCCAGCGTGAAAATGGTTCATTTTAATTGCGTAAAATGGAATGAATAATGTAGTTTTTATAAATTTGAGAGCTCCTGACCTATTAATTATCTTAAAATGATTATTATTATTATTATTATTATTATTATTATTTTTATTTAGGAAATTTTAAGATGTTTGGTTATGTATATATATATATATCAGTGTTTTGTTACCTCGTTTGTGTGAATCTTGTGCTGCTATATATGTGAGGTCCTTTAGCCTTTTGATGAAATGCTTCGACACGGTTGTTTTTGTTTGAGATTGCTTTTAATTGCAATGACATATGGTTTTATAGAGCAGCTTTCTTTTATTATAGTGATCACATTGTTCTCTATGATACATGATATATAGGGTTGAAGGGGTTTTTCAAATGGGGACAATACAAACACAGCCATCCTTGCAGCAATAGATGGACCTGTTAAGAGCGAGGTCCTTTTGTCTACTAAAGAGATTATTTGAATCTTAGATGAATGTGGCAGATAAAATGTATATTCTCTTGCAAGAGTTATGGCCAACTATTGGTAATTCTTCGAGAACAAAGATGTTGATTGAACTGCGATATCAAGCTTTGATCCCGAGCCCTTTTCGAACCCGGATGACCCATCTAGCCCGCGTCGTAATTGCAGTTGATATAATTCTTTATTGATCGACATTGATGAGGAGAAAAAAAATAAAAAATCGTTCCTTCAGACATTCTGAAGTGATCAATTAACAACTGCTACTTTAGCCTATGCAGTACTTAAATAAAATTGATATATTCTGTAGTTTCATTTTTTATTTTTTATTTTCTTTTATGTTCCTGTTGACAGACAGTTATTGTTATTGTATTATGTGTTAATATGCTGCCATGACAGGAGCTTATGTACACACAGACATTGCATTAAAAGCATGTTTAGAATGCTTCATCCATGTTACCCCTTCGTTCGACATGACCGATTAATGTCTTTGGTGGTAACCGCTTAGTTAACCCATCTGCTGCCACAAAATTTGTTGTTTTAATATGCCCTATAGACAACCACCTGACCTCAAATATTACAACACAGGTACTGTGTTTCTTATCTTTTATGCTACAATGTTAGCAGCCGCATTCATATCAATAAACACAAATCAATTTACCTGGAAATGTTCCCTCTTTATATATGCAATGATGTCTTACCTAAATTTTCATGAAGAATTGCTCTTATTCAACTCATACCATTATCAGAACTAGAACTGATTTATTTGTTATGTTGACTTCAAAGACCAATGGTGATTGTATATGGTTTTTGATAGGATTTTGAGATCTGCCATACTTTTGGTACTTCATAGATTGGAATTATTCTTAACTTAATATTTTTTATGTGGTAAAAAATCTTAAAAATGAGATTTGGTCCTTCGTTTTTATTTTTATTGATAATTTTATAATTTGAAAAAGGTTACTTATAGTTCACGAGCCTTTTGTATCATAAATCTAAAAAATATCTTGTTAGCGGTTCTTCTTTTTTGTACATTCTCTTTTGGAACTGTGTTTAATATCACATGAACACTTAATAACTCGTAGGGCAGAACCGCACCGCAAAAAACCGAAATCCAAAAAACTAGAATTTGTTCACCGAACCGCACTAGAGAAGAAAAAACCGAGTTGAATCAAACCGAAAGTTCCGTTTTTCGGTTAATCGCAATTAAAAGATGCTAAACACAAATCATGTTGCAAGGTCTCAATTTTCTCAAAATTAGAGTAGTTTAATTGTAAATTGTTGTGTTGTCTGGCGGCACAAGGCTCGGGCGGTCTTTACAGGTTGGATAGCCCTCCGGGGTCGAATATATGGTTAGACCATGATTTGATCGACGTATCTTATTCTCGGAGGATCGTTACTTAGGTTATTCGAAGGCCTAGCCTCATCTTATTGTACCAAAAAAAAGTCAGTGCGGGTGACTCAACTTATGGAGTCATTCGCACTTATTCACCAATAGTGTATTAACGCGTGTCCTGCAATAAATACAATTTAAATATGTTCAATATATTAAGGGTGAATGACTTCATAATAAAACCATCTGATGACTCTATAGAATTTTTCTCTGCTAATCTATGCCTTTCATTCAACAAGAAGTACCACCAGTGTAATAGAAGCGCCTTAGAGTCAGTTTGAAAGCATCAAGTCAGTAAGAAATGCTGTTGGAGATTATGAGTTACTGATTGAGGAGATTGAGAAATCCAAAAAGGTAAAGAAGAAAGAAATTAGTTATTCGTGACATGAAGCATATATTCGAGATAGGTCAAGTCATGCCTGGAGCCTGGAGGCCTCTTTTTTTTTTTACCTCCGAACCTTCTTTTTTCTTAATTCTTTAATTAGAACAATTTTAAAATCTTAATTGGGCCTGGAAGGCTGGAACAAACAAGCATATATAAAAGGGGATTCAAGAAGGGAACTTTGTAAGACAGACGCCTAATTCATAGAGCAATTTGCTCCCTAAGTTTGCGAAAACTACTGCTATGGGTTTCTTCTCGAGCTTCTACACTCATCTCGCGAATTTCATGACCAAGAAAACTCCCGCCTTGGACGCCGAGGATGAAGACGATGATATTAACCCCTCACCTGCGGTGACGCCCGACCGCCAGCCACCTGCGGCGACAGTCGACCGCCAGTCACCCGCGGCGCCGAAGCCGCTCGACCTCAATTTGTGGCTCGACAAAAGCAACCAGCTCATGCTCGTGGTGCAGAGCCTTTGCAACGGGTCCTCCTGTTATTCTCTAGTCTCTACCAAACACGACTCGTTCGAAGTAGTAGTAAAAGATGATATGTCCAACTTGTCGGCTCTACTCAAATCTCAAAACTGCAATCCCGAGCTGTATGCGAAACCCCACGCTTATCAGGTTTTAACTTCCTGCAACCCATGGATATTGGTGACATGTGGAGCGATTGATGATAGGGCTTTACAGTTTCTGTGGAACCCTTTTACCAACGAGATCAAAACCCTTCCCCCTTTCACGTCCGAGCCTCCCCTGCCTTCCCCACTCTACTCGGGCATCAGTTTTTACGGATTGGGGATCGATCCTTCATCGGGGGACTATAAAATTGTCAGGGCTCGTGCGTTTGGTTATACGTATGAGGATCCTGATCATGACATGAAAGTCCAGGCTGAGCTGTTATCGCTCGAAACTGGTTTGTGGAAGGAAATTCCTTATCCTCATCGACCCCATATGCCAGTCCAGCCAGCTCCCATTCACATAAATGGATTTTGTTATTGGACAGCTGAGGATATGTTTTCAGGAGAACTTTGTATCTGTTCGTTCGACTTTGCTAAGCAGGAGTTTTCCCGTGAACTCATTCCCATGCCCGAGAGCGATAGGATATTGGACATGTGCACTGTTGCTCTTGCTGAGTTGCGCGGGTCGCTGGCTCTTGTTGCTTACGATGATAAGCTGGGTAGTCTTCTTGAAGGCGAACCTGTGAATGGGGAGACTTCTGATATCGAGGTTTGGGTTTGGAACAATGGCAGCTGGTCTAAGGAGCACTCGTGCACTATCCCTGCCGAAGTTTTTCTGGTATCGGGCCTCTTCAAGAAGAATAAATTGCTTCTCGTGGATTCCAAGGGCGAGCTACTGATTTACAATTATGAGACGGACAATTTGGTCAATCTCTGTACCGGCGATGATAATTCGGCTGTGGAGATGTACCCTCTTTTCGAGAGCTCATCTATATGACGATATGATTTATATATATATATATATATGTCAGTGTTATGTTGCCTTGTTTGTGTGAATTGTGTGCTGCTATGTAAGGTCCCTTAGCCTTTTGTTGAACTGCTTCGGCACGGTTGCTTGTTTGAGATTGCTTTTAAGTGCAATGACATATGTTCTTATAACATTTATGGAAGCATTAACATATGTGAGGGTACATATTAAACGTTTATGATTGAAAATATATGTACATATTACACATTGTAGTTCCTAGCCAAGTAAATTTTCCGGATCATTTTAAGGATGTGCAGCTACCAGTAGAATTTCTTTTTATCTATTCTTTATCTGTTTCAAGTGTAGCATTTAACTGCATGATCCCTTCTTCATATTTCGGGCAGTTAATGTTTGGTTCAATTTTGATTCATTCCATTCAATGAACACAGTGATGCTGACCTATGGGAGGCTTTCAAAAGGGCCCATTTGAAAGATGTCTTCAATAGGAATCATTTGGGATTGGATGCAACTGATAAATGTGCCATCCTTGCTGTATTTTAATCAAACCTAAGAGGATTTTAAACAAACTCTAACCGGAGTAAATATTTTATATCTCTAATTGTATCACAGTAAAGTAAATATTTCCACGTATATTTGCTATGGTTGGTTTTTGTGTTTTCAAGTTCACAATTGCTCATTATTTGACATGGAGCGTTGAACCTACATTTGTTTTGGTATTTTCATTATGTTTGGATTTTTGTGTATTCATCATGCAACAAATTGAACATTATGGTGTTTGTAGGAATATAAAGAAGCACGGAAGTACGAAGAACAGGGCAATCAAACGTGATAGGATTATATGTGACATTTGAGATATACATTTATTTTGCTTAATATTTGTGTACTGAAAATGTGATTTGGTATTTTGGATTTCAATTATTTTGAGTGCAATAATATAATGTTGGTGGCCCATTAATATTATTTAATTAATTAGAGGAGTGGGCTTGGCCCACAGTTAGTCTAATTAATTAAGGAGCCCTTTTCCTAATCTCCTTAGGGTCCTTACTGTAGCTCTATATATACATCATTAAGCTCATGAGAAGGTAACATAGTTCACATCTCACAGTGAAACACGCCCTCTCTCTCTAGATCTCATTCGAGCTTTTCTTCTTGTTGCTCCATTGCTACAAGTTGAAGAAGGGTGTATTGAGTAATACAGTAGAAGATCTGTAGTTAAATCGAGACAAAATATATGTTGACCTACAGAACTAACCGGAAGTCCGATTGAGACGTACAGTATACCCAGACGACCGTCTCGACGAGAGCTTTCCATCGCCGCCGATGTCGCCGGATTCCGACGCCGCACGCGCCTTCACGCGCCGCCGGAAGGTGTCTGGCAGCAATTTTCGTTTTGATCTGTTTGCATCCGTTTGATCCGGTTTTGATCTGATCTTGTTCGCGCAACCCAAGACGTGATTTGCGGTCAATCAATTGCGGTCAACCGTTCGTGTCTACAGGTTCAGTTTTTTGTCCATTGCAAATGGAGCTGGAAGATTCATTGTTGACAATTTTCCTGGCATAGTGCTAATAATGGACTAGATCAAAATAGCTCAATTAAATTCTAGTGCTTCTTCTATTAGTGAAGTTTCTAGAAAAAAAATATATATCAAACGGTGCAATGCACCTTGGGTCGCTACGGAAACAGCCCCTTTGTATGATTACAATGGTAAGGTCTGCGTACAATTGATCCCCCCGATCCCAACCTTTTGGGAATGTACTGGGTATGTTGTTGTTGTTGTTGTTGTTGACTCTACAGGTTCAGCTGTGTGAGGCCTCCCATCATTATATAGTCTGTATGCTATATGAGACTTGCTCTTTTTTAAGTCGAAAATGTCATATAATATTATTAGTTAGTTAAACTACTGAGAAAGCCTTGTCCCTAACCTTCCAAAGTAACCACATGTTACAATTTTTGTTAGATCGTTATGCGGAGAAAGAGTTTTATAAGGTGCGAAAATGATGAAATTTCTAAATTGTGAGATGATGTCTCATGGGACCATTATAAAAATGTACTAAAGCCATACTTGAACATATTCTTTTATATGTTTCTCAGCATAACAATGTATTTCCAAAGATGTGTTGTTAGCTCATCAACCTCTTTTAAAATTTAATTCTTATGATATTTAATTATATACATTTACATATTCAAATTGTTCTTGTCTAAAGTATAACTTTTTGAGGCTTTTGCTTCACTATCATGAATGAAAAAACAAACATATACATACGTTCTTTCAACCAATTTTCGAGAATTTTGATACTTTATTCAAAATCATATTTCATCTGTCAACATAATCAATTTTTGATATTACTTTGTATTCTAGAATCTTTTCTAATTCGTTAAATTGTCAAGTTCAAAAATTTTCTCCTCACGTGCTCTAGTAGTTTTCTTACCTATGCCTATAGGATTCTCTTTCTATTCTACCAATTAAAGTAATCACATAATTCTTCATTACAACAATTTTCAAATCTTAATTGGTCCCGACTTACACCAATTTCAAAATCTTAATTGGCTGAACAAACTAGTATATATAAGAGGAATTTGCACCACCTATCAATTAATATACTTTATATTACATTTATACACCTAATAAATATTTATTTTCAAATCTAATAAATTCACCATACTTAAATGCACATATACCAGATTTTTAATTTTATTAATTATGGAAAATAAATATAGAAAGAGATATATTTATAACTGATTCATAATATCAAGGAATTAACTCTCTCTTTCTGTTCGGGCATTACATGCGCTACCGCCTCCGTAATTCTTCTTTCTACAGGCCAAGCAGAGAACTTCATTTCGCCGTAGTACTCGCCTTAAAAAAACCTCTAATCATCGCCAGAGCCTCGCATTGAACTCCTTATCCGAAGATCGCATATTAGCTGATATGAGCCGACCAATAGATGGCGATGTCGCTGGGAAGAATGAGGAAGAAGAGTTCAACACAAGACCATTATATGTGTTGATGATGAATGTTAAAAATAACACACAGGTCCTCATCAACTGCCAGAATAACAAAAAGCTTTTGGGCCATGTGAGGGCCTTCGATCGCCATTGCAATATGGTGCTAGAAAATATATGTATATGTATACAAAATATACTGAAAATATAGGAAATATTTTTAAACATTACAATTGTGCTTAGATAAATATACTGAAAATATACGGGGTATAAACGCAACATATACTGAAAATATTCATTAACACTGATATGCTTTTATGGTTTGTTTGTTTTTTTTGTTGGATTTATTGCGTATATGTATGGTTTATTTTTATATATCAATGTTGTTCAAATTTTAGGTATAAAATTAAGTAGAAAATATAAATAAAATGTATAAACAAAATTGTTAGATAAACATATGGAGTATAAACACAACATATCTATAAATATTCATTAACACTGATATGCTTTTATGCTTTATTTTTGTTGGATATTGTTGTGTATACATATGATTTATTTTTACTTATGTACAAATTATAGGAATAAAATTAAGTAGAAAATGTAAAGAAGTATATATATAATTAACTGAATTAAAAGCATTTTTTGTGATGTATTGGCAGGGATACGTATACTTTGTGGTGAGTAACTGAGTATGGCCTTTTTATCTTGACGAGATGATGTCACATTGGGTGGTTTTGAGAGGCTTTAGGGTTTGATTACTGATTGGATTTGTTTTTTCATTAGAATTAATTATGTTTGTATAATCTTGGGATTGCAGGATGTGAACCAAGAGATATATACAAGTAAGGTAACTAGTTGGAGTTTATGATAGGGAAATTTTCATGTATACTTACAAATTTTTAGATAATTGCAATATTACCATCCATACCAATTAAATTGTGTACATACCTAAAAGATAAATATTAATTATAATCATGCCTAAAATCAGTTACAAGGTAAATGAAATAACCTTCCATGTTCCTAGCGCGTAATTTCAGGAAATCGGGCAAAGAGTACGAAATTTCACCAAATCTTCGTCGCCTATATATATTGCTTTAACATATACTGCAAATATACTGTACATATACCCGTCGAACGTCTTCCTGTTAATGTTATGAGAAAATATACCGAGAATATACTGATAATATACCGTCGAACGTCTTCCTGTTAATGCCATGAGAAAATATACCGAAAAGATATTGATAATATACCGAAAATTTTTAACTACTACATACTATCGAACGTCTTCCTATTAATGTCATGAGAAAAAAAAATGGAAAACAGTGAAACATGACTAAAAATATACTGGAAATAAACCATACAATTTTCATTGAACAATAAAAACAAGAAAAAACTACAAAGTATAGACTCAAAAAATCAACTGAACACAAACAAAATGTACAAATAAGCAATTCTCATTCCTCCCAAAACACTAATAATATATTGAAGAAAATCAATCCGACCGAAACAAACATTCATCAACAAAAAAATTTGCTAATATACTAAACATAAGCTTATTTTTTGGCAGGGACGCGGGTCATATACTGTACATATACTGCATATATACTGCATATATACTCAGAAAAAATAAACTATAAATAAACTATACTGCATATATATTCACAAAAATATCTTATAATATACCAAACATAAACTATAAATAAAACATCGCTAAAAAAAACTTTTGACTGCCTTCTTTCCCCCAATGAATTGATGTGTGAACGTATGATATAAACACTGTGAGGAAGCATGCTCACTTCATAATTGACTTTCTTTTCCCAAATATTTTTTCAATGAGGCTTAGTTCACACTTTTGCATGCCTGGAGCAATTTCTTGTTCCAATAGTTCGATCCCTTGTTCTTCTTTCTCAGACATGCAAATCGCTGTAGCTTTCCTTTTATTTCCTGCTCCATAGTAAAAATCCCCAAACACCAACAACAAACCCTAATTGGAAAGGACAAAAGCACCAGGTCAGAGGCGAGGAGGAAAGCGAAAGAAATAGAAAATCTAACCTACACTAGAAGCCCTAATGAATGCACACAAGAAACAGAAAGGCAAAGTCTATATATTCAGAGAACCCATATATCTAGAGCACATCCCCACCCATTAAAGAAGACGAAGAATGATCCACAAGAAACAACAAGAAACAAAGAAATAGACACTGGCAAAATGAAACGACGAAGAAGGTGATGGTGCGGCGGCCAAATCCAAATAATGGAAGTAGGGTCTCTAGAGAGAGAACAAATCTCACGAGGGAGAACTCTTCAATTATATGAACGATTTTTTTGCAGAGTGATAGAGTATTTTTGACCGGATATCAATTGCATCTAATTTACCTTTTCAATAATAACAGTTACACAATTATTTTAGGTAAAATTGTAAGCCCAATCCAATAAAAATTTACTATACATTTACTATATATGACTTTTTATAAGCCCAATCCAATAAAAATTTATCCATCGGCAATAGCAAATGAGCAATACATATGTACATATGCAATGCTTCAATGGACCCCACCTCTTGAAGTTGAATTGAATGAAAAAAATGCAGCCCGTAATAAGTTGAATTGAATATTTTCTTGCTACTCTTGCATCTTGACAAATACGACTCTTATTTTTTTTTCCACTTCCAATAAATTTCATTTCTAATAATAATAATATTTTTTTCCTTCTAGTAAATTTAATTTCTAATAATAATAATAATATAATAGGTGATTATTGAATATAAATATTATTTGTTCATTTCGGCCCTCGTTCTCCTTTTGTCATTCTCGGTTTTCTTTTATTTATATTTTCATATTTTAAATTACCATCACCATTTTCAGTTACTTTTAAGAATGCACAGAATCAAGTTGGGTTTCAATTTTCATTTATATTCCTTTTCAATTGATTTCACATACATACTTCATCATTATCATCATTTTATTTTGTTTAAGGCATAAATTTGCAATATCTTAAGATTTTAGAAGATTGAATGTAGATTGTGGGCATTATATTTATATTTTTTGACTCTACTTGCTAACTTAGGGGGATTGAAAAAAATCATATCTAAACGAATTATAAATAAAAAAATAATATGTATAGAAACATATTAAAAAAGATAAAACACAAAAATAAATTATATATATAGTAAAAGTTGATTTATTTATGATTAAAAAAATTATTAATTTACAAATAAAAAAATTGTAGGAGGTATAATTTCTCAAGTTAGATTAGGGGCATTAATTATATATTTGGCCCAGGGCCCAAAATCATCCCGGACCGGCTCTGAGGATAAGATAAAAATCTCCCTATATATAATAGGGGATTTAAGAAGGGACGGATGTAGCCACAAACTTTGTAAGACATACGCCTAATTTTATAGAGCAATTGCTCCCTAAGGTTTGCGAACGCTGCTATTGCTTTCTTCTCGAGCATGACCAAGCAAACTCCCGCCTTGGACGCCGATGATATGAACCGCCCGTCACCTGCAGCAACGCCCAACCGCCAGCCACCTGCGGCGACGCTCGACCGCCAGTCACCCGCGGCGCCGCCGCCGCTCGACCTCAATTTGTGGCTCGACGAAAGCAACGAGCTCATGCTCGTGGTGCAGATCCTTGGCAACGGGTCCTCCTGTTATTCTCTAGTCTCTACGATAAACGACTCGTTCGAAGTAGTAGTAAAAGACGATCTGTCCAGCTTGTCGGCTCTACTCAAATCTCAAAACTGCAACCCCGAGCTGTATGCGAAACCCTACAATTATCAGGTTGTAACTGCCTGCAACCCATGGATATTGGTGACATGTGAAGAGATTGATGAAACGGGTTTATTACAGTTTCTGTGGAACCCTTTTACCAACGAGATCAAAACCCTTCCCCCTTTCACGTCCGAGCCTCCCCTGCCTTCCCCACTCGACTCGGGAATCAGTTTTTACGGATTGGGGATCGATACTCCATCGGGGGACTATAAAATTGTCAGGGCTCGTGCGTTTGGTTATACGGATGAGGATCCTGATGATGAGATGAAAGTCCAGGCTGAGCTGTTATCGCTCGAAACTGGTTTGTGGAAGGAAATTCCTTATCCTTATCAACCCCAAATGCCAGTCTCTCCTAGTCCTGTTCACATAAATGGATTTTGTTATTGGACAGCTTCGGATATGTTTTCGGGAGAACTTTCTATCTGTTCGTTCGACTTTGCTAAGCAGAAGTTTTCCGTGAACTCATTCCCATGCCCGAGAGCGATAGGATTGTGGACATGTGCACTGTTGCTATTGCTGAGTTTCGCGGATCGCTGGCTGTTGTTGCTTACGATGATAAGCTGCGTAGTCTTGTTGAAGGCGAACCTGTAAATAGGGAGACTTCTGATATCGAGGTTTGGGTTTGGAACAATGGCAGCTGGTCTAAGGAGCACTCGTGCACTATCCCTGCCAAAGTTTTTGGGGTATCGGGCCTCTTCAGGAATAATAAATTGCTTCTCGTGGACTCCAAGGGCGAGCTACTGCTTTATGATTGTGGGACAAACAAATTGGTCAATCTCTGTAGCAGCGATGATAATTTTGGTGTGGTGATGTACCCTCTTTTCGAGAGCTCATCTCTATGAGGATAGAATATATTTTTCTTTGCTTTTCATTTTTGTGCTGCTATATGTAAGATCCTTTAGCCTTTTGTTGAACTGCTTTAGCACAGTTGCTTGTTTGAGATTTCTTTTATTGCAATGACAGATGTTCTCAATTCACCGGTTTTTTCGTTGCTTATAGATCAGCCTTCTTTTCTTATATTGATCACATTGTTCTCTATGTGTAATGCACGTTGAAGCACTCCATCCCCATGTTAATATGCTGCCATGACATGAGCTTATGTACACACACACACATTGCGTTAAAAGCATGTTTAGAATGACTCATCCATATTACCCCTTCGTTCGTCATGACCGATTAATGTCTTTGGTGGTAACCGCTTAGTTAGCCCATCTGCTGCCACAAAATTTGTTATTTTAATATGCCCTATAGACACTGATTGTTTTTGCACAACATTCGAGTACTTCAATTTCACGTGTTTAGCACCTTTAGAGTACTTGTAGTTCTCTGATTAGAAGCTGGCAGCTGAAGAATTATCAGAGAAGTTTTTCAACCGCGTGGCTCCGAATATTGCAACACAGGTACTGTGCTTCTTATCTTTTAATGCTACAAATTTAGCATCCGCATTCATATAAATAAACACAAATCAATTTACCTGGATATGTTCCCACTATATATGCAACATGTCTTATCTGAATTTTCATTAAGAATTGTTCTTATTCAACTCATACCATTATCAGAATTAGAACTTTAGATACTGGTTTATTTGTTATATTGACTTCAAAGACCAATGGTGATTGTATATGGTTTATGATAGGATTTTGAGATCTGCCATACTTTTGGTATTCATAGATTGGAATTATTCTTAACTTAATATTTTTTATGTAGTAAAAAATCTAAAAAATGAGATTTTGGTCCTTTTTTTTTTAATTTTTTTTTGTACTATTATAATTTGAAAAAGGTTACTTATAGTTCACGAGCCTTTTGTACCATAAATTTTCCAGGTTGTAAATGCAAATTAGTACAGATCACACAATTATTAAGTGCTCTAGATGCTCGTGTGAGATGTCACATAAGTCTTCAAACATAATTACGTGCCTTCATTATATTTTGGTTATTGTTTTAGGAGCTGAACTTCTGATACTTACTAATGTACATATATCAATGCAGAAAGTTACGTTTCTATTTTGGAGAAATACACATATGTCATTACCAATTGGAAAATTAATATAACCATGATTATGTTTTTTAGCAAAGTTGATGATTAGTAATGTATCATTTCTGGTTGATTCAGGTGCTGAGGCTTGCAATCCTGGAGGAGAACAGCTTTAATGCTGTTGAGCATGTGGGGATATTGCGAAGTTTGAATTAACAGACCTCCAGCTGGTTCTCGGGATAAAGTCACCCGATCTTTTCTCAGGTATTTAACAAGCTATTAAATATGGTTGTGGTGTTGTTCTTTTTGTGATGCAATAGAGGCTCTGCATGTATGATTTTACAATTTCATAATTACCTGCCAAGTAAATTTTCCGGATCATTTTATTGATGTGCAGCAGCTACCAGTAGAATTTCTTTTTATCTATCCTTTATCTGTTTCAAGTGTAGCATTTAACCGCATGATCCCTTTTTCATATTTCCGGCAGTTAATGTTTGGTTCAATTTTGATTCATTCCATTCAATGAACACAGTGATGCTGACCTTTGGGAGGCTTTCAAAAGGGCCCATTTGAAAGATGTCTTCAATAGGAATCATTTGGGATTGGATGCAACTGATAAATGTGCCATCCTTGCTGTATTTTAATCAAACCTAAGAGGATTTTAAACAAACTCTAACCGGAGTAAATATTTTTTTTATCTCTAATTGTATCACAATAAAGTATATAGCAGATACGACTACCTAAAGTGAATGAGCATTTGAACTCCACACCTTCAATAATGTGTGGTAATCAAAAGATTTAAAAATATAGAAACATCAGTTTTTTTTTTTTTTTTTTTTTTTTTTTTTATTATTTATTTGTAAAACACATACTCACACTCATTATAGGTTTGAACTGTCAAGGAAGTGGGTTGGTCACTTGAAAGACAAATCTCAACGTGTTCCTGTAATGTTCGCATGGCATAAATTAATTTTAAGAGGATGCGTTTATTTTTACTCCTTTTCAGATGGGACAGTTGCGAAAAGTCATCCTCAGTTTTGATTATTTACCAGGAAGTCCAGAGATGCCCCAAGTTACAAAAGCCCCTTTTCTTGATTACGCAAAACTTGAGGTGCCGTGTTTCGTAATTTGGTTCTTGTGCTTTATGAATGGTGAGACTTTTTTCTTTTAGCATCAACATGAATTTGATGACAATGGTTAATAGTTTCAACTCTTGACATATTTGTTAATGCTATGAAGTCATTTGTTCCAACTGGCCTTGAACGATGTTGAATAAAATTGTTCATCTCATGTCTTATCTAGTAAAATCAATAGTAATCTTCACGTGTATTTGCTATGGTTGGTTTTTGTGTTTCTAGGTTTGGCGGTTGTAAGTAGGCTTGCTCGAAACAAGCTCCAAAATGCCGATATATAATTTTGAAGATAGAATAATTGGATGCGACGGTGCGGAGATGTAATCGGTATTTTTGTCTTTCTAGAAATTGAAACAGGGATTTGTGCTTGAATGAATCCTAACCTTGTCACAACAATGTGGTTTGAGCAAGACGATTAAGCTTAGATGATTCTTCTTTCCATGATCTGAAACGTATGAGTGTCAATTGATGAACGTTTATTGAGCAAGAATTAAATTGAAAAAGAGAAATGTGTTGGGGCACGTAGGTTCCAGGACCGCCATAAGAAGTTGTGTCACCCAAAATCTAAAAGCTAATAGGTTGACACAAAATTGAATGTTTCATATTGTGGTGGAATTGCAGGTGTAAAAGAAATTAAAACCAGAATGATATGGTAAATATTGGTTATTATAATTGTGAAATCACAATTGGATATAAGTATACTAGTTTAGGCGAGAAAACTGGGATTCACTGGATTCCTGCGATCGATGAGAGGGAGTATCTTTAGACTTGAAGGAATTCTCGAAGGTAGGCGGGGACATTGACTCCTCTGCGATGTGTTGCTGGGCACGCGAGAAGAAGTCATGGTAAGTGGTTGGCTTGTTTTGGCAAAACGGAATAAGAAATTCAGCCGAAGGCAAGCATAGGCGAATACTATGGGAGTCTCTGGGTGACAAGGTTCTATATTTTGGACTCGGACGTTGAACCTGACGATGTAATCTCTTAAGCTCTAGTTGACTTGTTAAATGATGTTTGTGATTGACTCTTTGCGAATAACACACCTGTGATCCCACAAAATGCATGGGGAATGCAGGTTGCAATTGTTCCCAATTGTGGAAGAACCTCGAAAGCAATGAGTGGTACCACCATTGTGCTTAAGTACGAGAAAAAGTTTAGCATCGAAGAGCATCACTGGCCCCATGAAGATCCATCCAGGTGATATAGGCCTATCTTGGGGACCTTGATTTTTCTTGAAGGACCTCTGTAGAAAGTAGAAAGTGATGAAGTAGGATCAGAGGAGACGTCTTACGGGATGAAGGGGGTTAAAGGTAACCCGAATGGCCGTTTCCAATGTTTGCCATGCCTCGAGTTTGACAATTCATTTTTTGAGCGGGGCGATCTCCTCGACTTCTTTCCGAAGGATCTTTGCTACGAAGATCTTCAGCTTTATTGCCCAATCGGTTGAATACTGATAAGACGTTTGAACTCATGTGGCCTCGCTATCGCCCATGCTTTCGTTATGAGGATCAGGACTGTTTTTCTTTACCCTTATCAAGAGCCTTGGGATTCGACCTCGTGAAATTGGGAATTGTGATTTTGGTCAGGATTTTGGTGAGTAGTATGAGTGTGAGTTTTTCAGGAGGATTATTGTGTAGGAATTGAGAGAATAGGTTAGTAAGGCCTTTGACAAAAGCGGGATTACGAAATATGTCAACATTAGGATGAGGAGTGTTGTCATCAGACAATTTGTAATTAACAACTTTTGTAATTTATTGTTGATGTATGGTGTATGTAATAGGTAATTTTAATAATTTGCAACCTTACAGAAAAATCATTCTATGTTTTATTTTATTATGTACTGCTACAAATGCCCCAACTTAACTTGGTGCTAGGAAATGTCTTGTCCACTAAAAAAGAGAAACATTTAAAAGTTGAACATATTTCTCATGTGTTATTCTACATTTTGAAAAGCTTTTAAGGTTCACAATTGCTCTTTATTTGACATGGAGTGTTGAACCTACATTTGTGTTTGTATCTTCACTATGTTTGGATTTTTGCGTATTCGTCTTGCAACAGATTGAACACTGCATATGGTGTTTGTAGGATTACAAAGAAGTGCAAAACAGATTGAACACTGCATATGGTGTTTGTAGGATTACAAAGAAGCACGGAAGTACGAAGAACAAGGCAATCAAACGTGATAGGATTATATGTGACATTTGAGATATATATACATTTATTTTGCTTAAGATTTGTGTACTGAAAATGTGATTTGTTATTTTGGATTTGCAGTGCTTGCCTTATGTGAATATTAAGTTTATGACTCTAGAGATTCAGTTTATGCCTCCCTTTCAATAGAGAACTGTGTGAGGCCTCCCATCATTATATAGTCTGTATGCTATATGAGACTTGCTCTTACTTAAGTCGAAAATGTCTTATATAATATTATTAGTTAGTTGACCTACTGAGAAAGCCTTGTCCCTAACCTCCAAAGTAACCACATGTTACAATTTTTGTTAGATTGCAAATTGTTATGCGGAGGAAGAGTTTTATAAGGTGAGAAAATGATGAAATTTCTAAATTGTGAGATGATGTCTCATAGGACCATTATAGAAATGTACTAAAACCATACTTAACATATGCTTTTATATGTTTCTCAGCATAACAATGTATTTCCAAAGATGTCTCATAGGACCATTATAGAAATGTACTATAATAGTTTTCTTACTTATGCATAGAGGATTCTCCTCGTATTCTTCCAATTAAACTAAAGTAATCACATAATTCTTAATTACAATAATTTTAAAATCTTAATTGGGCCCGGCTTACACCAATTTCAAAATATTAATTGGACTTAACAAACTAGTAATATAAGAGGGGATTTAAGAAGGGAAGGATGTAGCCACAAACTTTGTAAGACAGATGCCTAATTTTAGGAAAATTCTAAGGTCCCGTTACATGATGTTACCGTCACTGTTTTTTACCATTAGATACACATAGAAATTATCTTGTGTGGATAATCTACGGTAACCAATATTGACGGAACCATTCCGGGTTCCCTTAATTTTATAGAGCATTTTGTCACGGTCCGCTTATTGCACGTCCCTTGTCCGAAAAATAAGGGGACATTTTCACTTATCCTACACGATTGTAGGAATATTGCAAAATTACCATTAATACACAATTAATTATGTATGTACCTAATAGCTAGTAATTAATTATATTGTTGCCTAAAAATCAGTTACAGATCTTGATTTCATATTCCATATTTAAGAAAAGATAACCAATTGGACCTGCTCAACCATCGCCTGAGACCTTCTTGTCTGCTCGTCTCATGTACGTGATCTCGAGTGTATATCTTAGGTATATTTTATGTATATGTGGGTTCTGAAATCGATTTTGAGAAACGATTGAAACTCGAGTGTATATTTAAAGTATATTTTGTGTATATTTTGTGTCTGCTCGTCTCATGTACCTGATCTCGAGTGTATATCTTAGGTATATTTTATGTATATGTGGGTTCTGAAATCGATTTTGAGAAACGAATGAAACTCGAGTGTATATTTAAAGTATATTTTGTGTATATTTGAGAAACGATTGAAACTCGAGTGTATATTTAAAGTATATTTTGTGTAACATATACTGGTTTGGGCTTGGGATGGACTGGATCATTCATATGCAGTTCCAACCCCTGTGAATGGAAAATGGAAAAATAAAAAAATGGCTGACAGAGAAAGAGAATTGGAAATCTATCTTCAATCGTTATCCTCCGCCGCCATGGACGCCCCCCGACCCCGCCACCTATTCCTCCCTCCTCAACTCACCCTCCGTCACCGAAAAAGGGTTGTACTATCTTCTGTGCACGCCGCTTGAAGTCGCTGCTGTCCACCCAAAAAAGAACTGTAGGGATCCAACGCATCTCCGGCTTGAATGCTCCTTCACCAGCGGCCGCCAACCAGGATTTTGAAACTCCATCTCTCACTTTCAACGAAGTTCTCGTCGAGACTCAACTCGTCCATGTCGATTTTATTCGCCTTGAAAAAAAATCAGAATCTTGTTTAGTGTCTATTTTTGCAGAAGGAAAAGAAAATAAAAAAGACGCCGAAGGAGAAGAAAAGGCGGTTGGCGATTTGTAGTCGTCCATGGAAATGAGAGGATGTGAAGAAGAAAATAGTTCGGATGAGAACTATGAATGGAGGAGAGAGAAAGGAATAAATTTGTTTTAAACTTCCTAACCAAATCCCACTAAATCCGCCACTATCCAAATAAAACATAACTCATCCTTAATTAAAAATTCAAAACAAAGAAACTGATGCTAGTAGGATTACAAATAAAATAGTTAGGTTAGGCACTTTTGCTAAATAATATAGTTGAGTAGTTTATATGTAATAAAAATGCTGTGGGGTCGTGGGGGGTGTAATTTCCTCAAAAATAAGGGCGTCATAAACTGCTCCCTAATTTTAAGAAGGTAATTTCCACGGGTTCTTTGGCTTCTTGAAGGTGAACAAACTAGTATATATATATAAAAGAGGATTTAAGAAGGGTTTGTAAGACAGACGCCTAATTTTATAGAGTAAGGGCATGCTTGTTTACAAATTAATTTATTTTTAATTATTTAAAATTTAACTCAACTTTAACTCAACCCTATTATTTTTAATATTATTCATTTAATTAAATAATACAAACCAATTATCTTTACACATCAGATCAACTTTAATTCACTATTCATCCATTCACATATTTTTAACTACCTATCATTTCTAATCATCTCCAATCATTTATCTCCTACTTTTACATCAAATTAATTTTAATTATTTTATTTTAAATATTATTTTAATACATTCTTAAAATCCCACTAACAACTAATCATATTACCTTTTTCAAAATTAACTCTATTTAAACAAAATAACTCATTTTAAATCAAATATTTCGTAAACAATCGCCCCCTAAGGTTTGCGAACGCTGCTATTGCTTTCTTCTCGAGCTTCTACAATCTCATGACGAAGCAAACTCCCGCCTTGGACACCGAGGACGATGATATGAACCGGCCGTCGCCTGCAGCAACGCCCGATCGCCAGCCACCTGCGACGACGCTCGACCGCCAGTCACCCGCGGCGCCACCGCCGCTCGACCTCAATTTGTGGCTCGATGAAAGCAACCAGCTCATGCTCGTGGTGCAGATCCTTGGCAACGGGTCCTCCTGTTATTCTCTAGTCTCTACGATAAACGACTCGTTCAAAGTAGTAGCAAAATATGATATGTCCAGCTTGTCGGCTCTACTCAAATCTCAAAACTGCAATCCCGAGCTGTATGCGAAACCCTACAATTATCAGGTTGTAACTGCCTGCAACCCATGGATATTGGTGACATGTGAAGAGATTGATGAAACGGGTTTATTACAGTTTCTGTGGAACCCTTTTACCAACGAGATCAAAACCCTTCCCCCTTTCACGTCCGAGCCTCCCCTGCCTTCCCCACTCGACTCGGGAATCAGTTTTTACGGATTGGGGATCGATCCTCCATCGGGGGACTATAAAATTGTCAGGGCTCGTGCGTTTGGTTATACGGATGAGGATCCTGATGATGAGATGAAAGTCCAGGCTGAGCTGTTATCGCTCGAAACTGGTTTGTGGAAGGAAATTTCTTATCCTTATCAACCCCAAATGCCAGTCTCTCCTAGTCCTGTTCACATAAATGGATTTTGTTATTGGACAGCTTCGGATATGTTTTCGGGAGAACTTTCTATCTGTTCGTTCGACTTTGCTAAGCAGAAGTTTTCCGTGAACTCATTCCCATGCCCGAGAGCGATAGGATTGTGGACATGTGCACTGTTGCTATTGCTGAGTTTCGCGGATCGCTGGCTGTTGTTGCTTACGATGATAAGCTGCGTAGTCTTGTTGAAGGCGAACCTGTAAATAGGGAGACTTCTGATATCGAGGTTTGGGTTTGGAACAATGGCAGCTGGTCTAAGGAGCACTCGTGCACTATCCCTGCCAAAGTTTTTGGGGTATCGGGCCTCTTCAGGAATAATAAATTGCTTCTCGTGGACTCCAAGGGCGAGCTACTGTTTTATGATTGTGGGACGAACAAATTGGTCAATCTCTGTAGCAGCGATGATAATTTTGGTGTGGCGATGTACCCTCTTTTCGAGAGCTCATCTCTATGAGGATAGAATACATATATGTCAGAGTTCTCGTTTGTGTGAACTCTGTGTTGCTATTTGTATGTTCCTTTAGCCTTTTGATGAAATGCTTCGGCACGGTTGCTTGTTTGAGATTGCTTTTATTTGCAATGAGATGTGTTCTTATAGATCAGCTTTCTTTTCTTATAGTAATCACATTGTTCTCTATGACCCATCTAGCCTGCCTCGTAATTGTAGTTGGTATAATTCTATATTGATCGACATTGATCAGGGCACGGGTCGATAGGCGGGTTTGAGGTGTCAAGAAATTGTGTCCTGATTACGGGTGGGTCGACCCGATTGATATCCGAGGTGGGATTTCAGAAAGCGGCCATATTGACGAGCGTTGGCTCCAAATACGTAGGATGGCGGGTTTGGGTGTAGGGTTGGGGAGAAGGGCCTTTAAAGCGTATCATTTATGCTGAATTTCTCGGACGATCAAATCCCTAACCTTTTCCCGGTTTGGATTTCTGTAAACTACTCAGGAATAAAGTTCAAATTATAAAGAGGGGCCATCTAGAAGACATGTAAGTGTTAGCTACGTCTCCAGGGACATTGCATTTAAGGTAAGAATCTTGCAGTTTTGTTACACATCTTTCTGTATGTGGCATTTCATGTTATAAGAGTTTGTTCATCAAAGTGTTCGTACTTTTATACACGATCTCATGATTTTTCACGAAAAACTTTATCCTTAATCTTATGGTGATTGTGCATTCTTTATGAAAAAACTTCATGGCGTTTTCTGTTCCTTTTTAAATATGTTGACA